TACCTGAACACCTATGTGGAAAGTGAAGAAATGAGACCCTTGGGTGGGGCACAGGGCAGATGATACTGAGAGCTTATTCAGGATGGCACTATCTTAATTTCTTTTAAACAACCCTTTCAGTGTATTTAGTCAGATACATTAAGAACATGCCCTTTTGATGTGCAGAGGAGCTAAGACTATCATTTTCAAACAATTTCTAGTGAGAGCGTTGTACTTGAAAACTAATTTGCATCAATCTTTGAAGATTTATGTTTCAGGAGCTTTGACTAAAGAACAACTGTCTTTATTCAATAACGACAACTAAATGCTCAAACAACATGTAACAGTTTGAGCAAACTGCCCCCACCACGTTGTGCTGGTTGGCTGTAGCTGTAACTGGAGTCAGCGCTTACCTCTCCCAGGACGCTTGTGCTGATCTGCTCAAAGGGGTTCGTCCAACAGTTTGTCTGTAGTCTGTTGGACAAAGCCATAAAACATTGATTTAAGTTTGCTGGAATGGAATCTATTCTTATTAATATTAAGTAAGCACATATTGAGTGCTTACTGTATGTTGGGAAATGTCCCTCAGACTCACATGAATATTATTTCTCTTAACCCTCACATATTTCCTTGTTATTCACACTTTACAGATACAGAGACTGAGGATTAGGTCTTCTCTCTTTTGGGGGGAGCTCATTATCAATGACTGGAAGTTGGAAGGAAAAAGATATTGGTTCATCCTGGGAAAACATTTTTCTAAGAGTCAGCATTGAAGAGGGTGACCACTGAAGAGGGTGACCACTGAAGAGGGTGATCATTGTTCGAGTGAGACGAGCCCCGGGTTGTATGGAGTCAGCATCCTTGTCCTGGACACGGCACGTGTAGAGCTGCGTGGTGGTGAGGCGGCGCGGCCACTCAGGGAACGCGGATGCTGGCCATTGGTCTGTGCTCAGGCCCGGCGGGGCTTTCTCCTAAGGGCAGTGGACCGTCATTGACATTTAAAGTAGGGGAGTGGGGTGCTCTCGTAGATCACTTTTGTGCTTGTAGAATGCTTGTAAACATTTAGTAGGCTCGGCAGGAGGTGATGTGATGAGTCAGAGTAGGGTGGCTGCGAGGTGTAGCAGTGTTCAATTTTCAAGTGGTTTTCAGTCCCAGGTTTGTGGCTCAGTAGCCTTGTCACTTTGGACGACGCACTCAAGGAAGTGAAACAATTTATCTAATCAATTGAAGCAGTGGTGTACCCACTTCCCAGGTCTGTTGTGGGGATCCAGTGTGATAACATGTGTACAGTGTGCAGCGTGGTCCCCAGCGCAGAGTCAGTGCTTAGTGAGTGCCAGTGAGTACCTGGTAGGACAGGTGTGGGTGGTGGGACTCGGTGACTGAGGAAATCTGAGCCCTGAAGGAGGGGTGCAGGCACATCTATGAGTGATGGGCCTGAGGTGGGAGAGGCAGGGAGACCTTGCCCCCCGACAAGGGGCCCTGGGCAGGACGGCTATTGGAGGAGCACCGTAAAGTCAGCTCTGTGCAGGTGGAGTTGGAGGTGCCCTTGAGACATCTAAGTGCAATGTCACGAGCTCGCAGAGGAGGTCTGGACCCGGGCTGTGCATTTTCCTATAATCTCGATCCCTGAGGATGCCGAGGTATTGATCCCTGAACGTGAAGACGTACTTTACAGGACAAGTGAATAGTAGTATCATCTCTGTCATCAGAGCTCACGTCTCTTTATTCATCACTCACTTTGCTAATTGGGTACTTACAGAGCTCACTTCACCGTCCTCCCCTGGGCTCAGGCTCCACAGTAAAGAGCTGGTGAGCCTCCCTCTTTTCCAGAAGAAGACACATTTATCTGGTAGCCTTCTATACCTCGCCAGACTTAGAATTTTAGTTTGTTGTTTTAATTCTATTTTCTGTTGGCCATCTCCTGACAGGAGAGAAGTTTTACCTCATGGTCATGTTTCAATTAGCTGTTACTGAGAATTGCTGATCTGACCCATAGTGTATGTATTCTATTAACTTTGTAGAGTTCTTATCATTTTTCTGTCTTTGCCCTTTAATTCTGTTTGCCCCTTCAAGATTCTATCCTATTTGGGGCCTTTATTTTTTTTAATTAAAAAAGTCTGTTAGCAGTTAAGAAAACAAAAGAAAAGAAAAAATGTACAGGATGCCTAAATTTAGAAAATACCTAGTGTGTTTTCTGTCTCGGCAATGGAGGGTTCTAGAAACTCGTGAAAACCTTCACTACACAAGTTCCTAAAAATGCTGATTAAGAAGTAAAACCTTCCTTCCTCATCTTTCAAGCTGCAAAGTTAATTGTCAAGAAAGTGAGGGGAACTCCTCAGAAGCCAAGACAAACCAGAAAGCAGGGATTCTGGGAGGTAAGGGAGCCTTAGAAGCCCTGGGGGGCCGGTTGGCTCCTGAGCTGAATTTCAGTTGCCCTGACAGGAGGGCAGGAGGTGAGCCCCAGGCCTCTCACACTGGGAGTTGGATGGCTGATCCTATGTAAGGCCAAGCACATCCTGAGAAGCCTGCTTTACTAAAGGGTGAATTAGAAAAAAAGAGAAAAACAAAACATTCCTCAAGGCAAGAAAGAAAGGAAAGTGAATTTTGTTGGAAGAGGGGAAAAATAACAAATCCAAAATAAGGATATAGTTTAAAGCTGTTCTGGCATGAGAGTGACCACAAACTCCTGGCAGAAAATCACAGCTCCTCCCGGAATGAGAAGTTGTGTTTTGAATGAATCAGTGGACAGCCATTCCGAAAAAGGCCTCCAGAGTCTTCTGGATCAAGATACTGGACCCAAACACCTCTCTTCCAAGGTCTCATTTAAATAACCAGAAAGGTTTTAAAGGATAGAAGCCATAATCATAGTTCTATTTATTGTCATTACTATTTGCTAGGAATTCAGAGGTGACTATGGAGTTGTCTCCTCTTTTATGGACCTTACTTTCTGTTTGACATAGTTGGGGAGCTGGGTAGAGGGAGGTGTTAGTCTGTTGCAATTAGCCAGGAGAGGAGATTAAGAAAGCAGTGAAGGGTGGGTGACATTTTTTGCTGAGGACAGTCCTGTTCAGTTGGCTTTTAATTGCAGGCTCGATGAGTTGTCACTGGAGAAAATTGATCTTACGGAAGATGGACTTAACTCAGGCCTCTTCAGAATGGACAAGTGAACCTGGAAAAAGACAGTCAAATCTGTGCAGACATTAAAGTCCACGTGAACGTGCTGTATCCCTGAGCCAAAGATAGGGCAAGTAGGCAGCCCTTCTTGAGGACAGAGGAGTGTTTTTTAAGGTTCTCCAAGAATGAATCCCAGGGAACCGAGATGGCCAGTTGTCAAACTATGACTTTGCTCTTTGGACGGTGTACCCACCAAGGGTATTGGCCGTTTATAGGTTTTCATTTCTCTTTAATACATGTCAGGTGATGATGACGTGGGCACAAGCGTTTGACACCTTGTCGAGGTGACTTTGGGTACCTGCCTAGAAGCGCGTGCACAGCTGCGGCTGCGTCGTACATCTTGCCGCCCATCCCGTTCCCCGGCTCCGTGATCACGGCAGAGTGGCTCCTTGTTGACCTGCCCGTCTTCTCTGTGACATTGTAACCCAAAAAAAGACTGGAGCGTAATAGCTTGGCTTTGTTCTTGTCCATCCTTCTCTTCGAATTATGATAACTGATAGTGGACCCAGTTATGTTAGCAGAAGTTCTACAAGTAGGGCTCTCAGTACAAACCTTGTAATCCCCGCTTTGTGATCTAGAGAAGCAAGTTACATTCTTCCCAAATTGTTTTGATGCACTTATGTGGGAAATTGGTGTAAGTTTGAATATGTATTTCCTCTCTGAATCATCATGGCTAGAGATGAATGTGGGTAGACATGGAATGTGTTTTCTGTGTTTGAACTCTATGGTCCCCTAAATTCTCCCCAGCTTTTTAAAGTCATCACTGGAGTGCTACCTCCAGAGTGTCCCAAAGCATCCACCACTGCCTCTTCTTCAGACACTGTGAGTTTCCAAGTTGGAGAAGGCTGCTGGCTGGTGAGGCATTCTCTGGCACATCTCTGGCTGGCTGATGTGGGCTTAGCACCCAAGACTTGGCAGACAGTAACTAACCACGATCACGTCCATTTCTGGAACACTCATGGAGGATCTTAGACCTATGCTAGTGGCATACGTTATTTCATATAGTTTTCCCAAGAATCATAATTAGATTTTATCCCCTGTATTAATAAGGAAACTGTCAAAGCGAGTGACGTGCAGACTTTGGACTGGAACACGGGTCTTCCTGATCCCTGTCTCTGTTCCCTCCCCGGCCTATCCTTCCAGATGGCCAGGAGACTCTTCCTCTGTCTTGAGTTTCCTGCTGATGTTACCACTCTCTTTGTTTCTAGGAGAGGAAAACAAGTCTAAACTTACTTTCCAGTTGGAAATGGAATGGAGAGTTAACGTTGGAAGCCGGGAGAGTCTGTCCTGTGATGAAGTGGTCTCCGAGCCACTTCCACTGGGACGTCACGTCACTGTCTGGGCCCCTTGCTCAGCCTGTGCACAGGTGACAGCGCAGATGTGCCGAGCAGTCCTCCCGGACAGGGCAGTGGGTTGGAAATGAGTTTGGGGATTTGGTTTCATTTCATAGGTTCCTGAGGGTCTTGGCCTGGCACTTCGAGTGGGACCATTCCCTGTCCCACAGGCTTGTGCTCTGGGCCCGTGCAGACCTGACGTGGCCTCAGCCTGAGGCTCAGGACCCGTGGTGAAGCGGAGCATCTTAGTCCAGGGTCTGCTGGAGGCTCTGACACTTGTGGGCCGCGGGACTTTGTCCAGGATGATAATAATTCCTCCCCGAGTTTCAGGTGTCCTTGCCTGTGAGCCGGGGTAGTAATCGTTTCTGAGATGATTGTAATGATTCAGTAAGGGGCGCAGCGTGTGCTGGCAGGTAGCTGCTGCTTAAGGAGCAGAAGTCGCAGTCACTCTGTCAGCCTCTCACTGTGTGCTCTGTGCTTTGAGAAGTTGTGTGTTTGGTGAAAGTCCCGCCCAAAGCCTAGGGTCTAGATGAACTGTTGTTCCTTTAGTTTCCCTTCCTTTTGCTCCTTCCCTTCTCTGCGTCTCATGTGTAGGTAGCAGATTCCTCTGTTTCAGGGAATACATGTCTTTCTAGTAAAAGGACAGGCTGAACGCGGAGAGGTGGGGCCCGGAGGGGGTCTGGAGCGTCTGCACAGCGCTGCTTCCCTGCGTTTCTGCATCCGGTCCTGTCAGTGTACAAAGTCAGCCTTCCTCTTCCTTCCTGTGTCATCGGGTCTCTGTTTTATGGGAAAACCTTTTTTACGTGTCTTTTTTCACTTACATGTTTCGTTCAGATGCTTGTTGCTTTTCTCCCTGTGCTTCAGCGTTCCGAGGAGAGAATTCAGAAGTGCAGCATCCTCTCTGAGCTCTATGAGTTGATCGGCTTCCAATGCAATTCCGCCTTCTTCAAGCGGGTGGCCCCCGTGCAGCGCGTGGCCCCCGGCATCCCGGAGCCTGGCTGGAAGGCCTGCTACCGACTCCTCCTACAGACGCTTCCTGGTTACAGTCTGTCGCTGGACCTGCAGGACTTCAGCAAAGGTGTTGGAACTAAAACATTGCTTCAGTCCCATTAACCACGCCTGGTTTGGGCCCTACTGTCCTGTCTCATCAGGGTGAATTCTGATTCGTGTAGAACAGGGCTCAGCAGACTTTTTTCTGTCAAGGGCTTGGGAGTGAATATTTCAGGGTCTGCAAGCCTCCTGATCTCTGGTGCAGCTGCTCAGCTCTGCTGTTCAGACGCCAGAGCAGCCGGACAATCCACACACCCACAAAGCTTTATTAACAGCGGTGGCTGGGGCTGGATTGGGGGTGTGAACTGCAGTTTGTCCCCACAGCCTCCTCACTATTGACGCCTGCACCAGAGCGTGCACTTGCGACAATGGGTGAACCTACACTGACACGTCATCATCACCCAGATCCCATGCCTGACACTAGGGTTTACACTTGGTGGTGTGCACTCTGTGGGTTTGGACAGATGTACAATGACATGTATCCACCGTCACAGCATCATACAGAGTAGTCTGTCTCAGTGACCCTAAAAATGCTCCATGCTGCACCTCATTCATTGCTCCATCCCCTCTAGCCTCTGACAGCCACTGATCTTTTAGTCTCTGTGCTTTTGCCTTTCCCAGAACACCATACAGTTGGAATCAGACAGTTGCAGAACCTTCCCAGATTGGCTTCTTTCACTTAATAATATGTATTTAAGGTTCCTCCATGTCTTTCCATGCCTTGATAACTCATTTCATTTTAACACCAAATAATAGTCCATTTTCTGGCTGGACCACAGTTTATTTATCCATTCACCTACTGAAGAACAGCTT